AGCCTATTTCTATTTTTTTTTCTCTGTTATTTCCTATTTCTTTGCTTGCTAGTGACCTATCTGTATAAATATCTAACATCTTTTCCCCTTTTAGCTTTTCTACTATCTCTCTTAAATCTTTTTGAACATTCTTATCTTCGATTACTCTTTGTATTATTGCTTCTTCTATGCTCGGTATTTCTATCTGGATGCTGTTCTGAATTGGAAGTTCTTCTCTTGAGTACAGCTCATATTTATCTATATAGGCTGAAAGTGGTATTTTTAAAGTGAATGTGCCTGTTTCGTCTTTTGTTGCTTTGCTGACAACTTGGTGCCACTTGCTTATTGGCTTGCTAATTAGACAATCAGTATTATTCTTTTTACTAATACTATATCCTTCACATTTTGCTAAACTTGTTCGTAGTACATCTCCTGGATCTATACATTTCCAGTGCGCTAATGTGAATTTTCCTTGAGTTTTTCTAGCTATTTTTCCTACTACCGGTATATTTCCTTCTTTTAAAATAACCCATTCTTTCTTTCTTTTATCTGTGCTAATTTTCTGCCTGTTTGCCTTCAGCGCTTCTTTGTTAGTACTTTGGGTTTTGAAGTTCTCTGCAACTTCTCTTGAGCAATGATCTCAAGAACATCTCTTTCGATTGATTTGAACCAGTTTGGTTTGCGACCTTTTCCTCCACAACCTCTTATTGATTTTATCTGATTTCAGAAGAGTAATTTATTTCCTTCCTCTTCTAGTAACTGATCTATTGTGAATATATTTAGGTTTCTACTATCTATAAAGTCTCTCAGATCTTTGTTTGATAGTAAACTTACTATCTCGATACCTTTTACTTCTATGTTGTTTATATCTGTATGAGTTTCTTGGAATCGAAAGCCAAGTTTGGTTATACTTTTGATTATGTTATACGTTAGGTTGCTTTGGGTTCTTGTTGAGCTGAATATGCATCTCTCATCTAGCAGGCTATATTTGGATTTGTATTTTAATTGAGCATCTTTTAGTCTGAGGTGAGTAGATTTCCCTATGCTATCCTTCTGGTTTAGACGTATCGTTAGTTCTGTAATATGATGTGCTAGTTGATTTTGCTATATTGATCTTAGACCTATTAATTCGTTATGGCTACTATTAATGGAGTATTATACTTCAAAGTAATGTAGGAGTATAAACCAGTATAGTTTATATGCTACACTACTTCAGATTGCTATAGAAATCAAATAGAGTGATTTATATTCTAGAGCCAATGCTAATACCATACCAGATTAAAAATATAAATAATTTTTTACTAATTTTTGTATATTAAAGATCAAAATTTTATTATTAAGATAATTAATATTATTTATAGTATTAAATAAAGTTGTCTAGGTATTAAGATAAACTATAATTAACAATATATTTTAAAATATGTATAATAAAACTTAATTTGAAGTCATACTTCGAATTAAAACTATAGAGTTTATTTTGGAATAATAACTCTGGTTTTACTAGTTACTCTAGCAGAGTATACACTGCATCACTTTGGATTACTCTGTTAATAGCCCACCTGTAAGATGGTGCAAAAGACAATTCAGTGCTACTTTTACAAACAGGTTTTGAGCACTTCTCTTTAATCTAAGTTCTAACGATTAATTCATTTTATTAGATACTGATTATAGTATAAATAATCGAATTACTTTACTTTTATTAAATTGCAAAGCATAATGGAATTCATAGTCCAACTTTAAATTTTGAATTAATCATATAAATATTTTGAAATTCTATTTTTATATTATTTAATACAACACGATAAGTTTGTTATTTTTATTTGTATAATAATGTTAAAACAATTTATTATATTTTAGTTTTGTAGATAGTTTGGCTTTAGATTATATTTAGCTTTCAATATCAGATATAGATATAGAACAAAGCTTTATACTACTTAGAAAATTAAAAGAAGAAGCTATAAAATCTCAAAAAAATGATAACAATTATAGATTATTGGTTATTCATCGGTCTTACAAATCATTTAATTTTAATATATGATAATAAAGAAGATTTAGTTGTACAATTTGTACTAAAGAGTATTGTAATCCAACTCTTGATATAATTTGATAGCAAATTCTTAAAAAAAGAAAGTTAAAGAAATAAAATAAAATTCAAGAGGTTGAGATGAATTTACAAAATATTATTTTAGATTTTGAATCAATTATTAAAAAATCAGTACAAGTTGCTGAAAAAACTGTTGTCAAGTGAATAACTGTATTAGCTAATAATTCTTTTAAGTTAATTTATCCGTTTATTATAGGCTTCTGAAATAATATTAAGATTAAAATACTAACATTTTAACTCTTCTCAACTTTCTTTTTGTTCTCAACTACTGAATCTATCTCTATTACACCTCTATTTTTTTTATCTTCTTGGGTAATATGGGATCTTTGTAGGCAAAATGACCTTTTGAGACTATTTAGATTTATGAATAAAATTTAAATTGATCTAATAATTCAATTTGAATAACTTTTTTTTAATTTCATAAAGTCTATTGAATGCTATAAAATAAAAAAATAAAAAAAGTTTTTTTTTTTTTTAACATTCAGCAGTTATGCTGTAACTTTATTTAGATTTGTTTTATATGAAAAACAACATTATATAGTTAAACCTTCTAATGTCTAATTTTTTAAGTTCTAACTCACCTGGTTATTCTAAAAATATTTATGTATGATCTGCTATAGTGACCTTTATCCTAGATTATTATTAATGTATTATTACAAAAACAAATCCTCATAGGATAGATACTACAGTCTATCATAACTGCTATTATACTTAATTGCTTTTTTTACTCTCCTTAACTTCCCTTTCTATACTATATAATGTTATTCTAAGACTAATACTACTTATATCTGTATTTTCATATACTCTGCTTTTGCTAGTCTTTGTTGTGATGTTTTCTTTATATTTCTTCTTCTTCTTTTTACTTTTCCTTCCTTCTATTTTTTCTTTTCATTGATATTTTTCTTTCTAGGATATATTTTCTTTTTTTTCTCAAGCTTCCATATCTTTGCATTAGCTCTTTCAGATTTCTTTGTATAATAGTTCTATTCAGATATGCCAGAACATACACCAGAATCTGACTATTATCTTTTCTGATCCAACTATATCTTTAATTTTTGATGCTTTTTCTTCATTAAGAATTCCTCTTAGCCATTCTATTTGTGTTTGATTCCTCTCTTCTGAGCTATTGTTTAACACCTGTTTGAGGCTTTCGAGGTTCTATTCCTTTTCTCTTTTTTTATCTTTAGAAAGTTGTTCTTATGCTTTCTTTTTGATTTTTATTAAAACAAGTTGTGACTTTTCATATTCAATTAGGTAGTTGATTGATTCTTTTTCTTTTGTGTATCTCTTGCAAAGACTGTTTTTATAAATATATAGTTTTCTAATATTTAGTACTTCTATTGTTAGAAGGATATTTTCGATATATTTGATTTTGAACAGATGTAAGTAGTTCGTTTCTGAGCTCGAAAATTGTTTACAGTAGCCTTCTAGTATTTCTCTAAAGGCTTTCTACTCTTGCTTTTGAACTCTGAGTTGGTGTTTCTCAATTTTTTTTTTTCGCAACTACATCCATTCAGCTTTGTAAGTTATTTGAATAGTTCTTTTAATAAAAGCTCTTAGCGGAGTTTCTAAGCTTATACTTTTCTACTCTGGAATAAATCTTATACTACTGTTACTAATATCTTTAAATTCTGTAATACAAGATTCCTGTAAGCCTTCTTTTGCTAAGCTGTCTGCTAGGTTATTAAATACATCATCTGAATGGCCTTTAACTTTAGTAAATCTTAGTTATATCGATTTACTTATACTTGCTTTTTTAATTGCCTGCAAGATATTACTATTTTTAAACTTGAACCATTCATGTATTTTCTTATACCTTAGACAGTTTTCAATTGCTATTATCGCATATATGCTATCTATTCGAATTTCTACTTTGCACTTGCTAGATACTAATAGAATTGCAACTAGACATGCAGTTATTTCTGCTAGAGTAGATGAAAACCAGTTTTGAATTCTTCTTCTATAACTATAAACTATATTATTTATGCTATCTATTTGTATTACACTATATCCCATCTTTGTTTCTTCTCTATTTTCTCTTTTTCTGAGTGAGCCATCAGTGTAGAAAACTATTTCATCTTTTCCTTTGTTTTCTTCTAACCCTATTTTGAGTACTTTTCTAACTTCTGTATTTTGAACTACTTGATTAATTAATTCTATTTCCTAACTGTTTTCTAACTCAATTACTTCAAGATTCTTAAACTTTTTAAAATCTTCTGCTTTCTCTTTTTTAGAGCCTTCTCCTATTCTTTTAAGAGTTTCTCTATTGAAGGTTAAATGTAGTGTGTTGTCTTTTTTCTGAACATACCTTGAAATATTTTGTACTTCTTTTAGTGCTACTCTCTAGTTTTTACTTTCCTTTTTAAGTCTTAAATTCTCTATATATTTTTTTTCTTGTCGATATTCTTCGATCAGATTTTCTTGATCTTTTTTCTACACTTCTATCTTAATTAGCTTTTTCTTTTTTTTGACAACATGACCAATTTGACTTCTCTGGTTTTTTTTTCCTTTTACTAATACTCATTCTTTTTTTCTTTTGTCATCTGATATTTTATCTTCACTTCTCTGATTTGAGAATTCATCTATCTTCTTATACTTGTCTTTAACTTCTCTTGTTTTAGTATTTTCTAATATTTTATCCTCTAGTATTTCAAACCATTTTGCTTTTTTTCTAATATGTCTCTTTCCTTTACTTATTTTGAGCTACCTTCATATTAGCATTCTTTCTTTTTTGCTTTCAAGAAGCTAGTTTATATGCTATAGGTTAAGCGCTCCTAGACTTGCTTGTGCTTCTTCTATCTTGTATTTACTTAAGATATTATTATTATTATTATTTTTTTTTTTTTTTATAACCCGAGCTTTATAGAGCTAGGGGTGCAGTTAGCGCTCTTTATTTACAATTAAATAATTTATAGAGAATATTTTAAGTATTTACATAAAGTTTTTTTCTCTAACGATCTATTTGTTTTATACATTTTGTGAAGACTTTGGATTTCTTTAGAAATCTAATTTTTAACGATTGTTAAAAGTGTAGAAAAAGGAAAAGTAGTATTACCCCATTTAAATGAGGCATAGCAGTATCAAAGTTCATAAATTGTTGTGATGTGAAGCCAGTTTAGTGCTTGCTTTTGAGAGGAGTTTTGTGCGCTTGATCCAGAGAACATTTCTTTGAGAGTTGAAGGGTAGTTGATTAATTTATTAGTATTAAGAAATCTATATACTACTTCCCAAATTTTTTTACTTAAGCTGCAGTCTATAGCGAAGTGTTCTGGTGTTTAGGGTTTCTCAGTACACTAAGGGCAGAATTCTGCTTCTAGTGATTCTATATATTTGAGTCTATAACCAAGAGGAAGGGACCTGTGGTAGAAGCGCCAGTTTATATCTTTTTTCTTGTTTATGATTGTTTTTGTAGAGAGCCAGTTTGATGCTAGTGGGTCTGGTATTGTGTATTCTCGAGAGGATATAGATTCTATTTTTTGAAATATTCGCAGAACTTTGTTTACTGTTATTTCATATCCTTTAAGGTCACCTAGCATAATTTCTTCTTTGTTCCAAGGCCAGTTTGTACTAGCTAAGATTTTTTCTTCTGCTCTTTTCCAGGCTAGAAGAAAAGGTTTCTACTTTGTAGGCCAAGCTTTGGACCGAATATTATCAGTTGTTAGTGCTTGTAAGGGTGAAATATCTCTTTTTTCTCTGAGAATTGTACTAATTTTGTCTCTTTCGTACTTAGCCCAAAAGTGCTCTAATGAAAGTAGTTTAAGCCAGACTGTTATTAGCCATGCATCTAGCATGTCTTTAATTATGGGAGCCTGTAGACCAAGATATTCGTATGGTTGTTGAAAGACTGAGTATCTCGAAAGCATACGAGAGTTACTCTTGATCTATGAAGAAATTAGTCTATTTATTTCTGATACCTGCTTCCTGTTTGGTGGGAGAAGGTATGCTATGTACCAGATTTTTGAGAGTATAAGAGATTTGGCAAGCAGAATTTTCCCTTTAAAAGATAAATTTCTATTCGCAAGTTTATCAAGTGAGGCCTTAAGATTATTTATAGTAGATGACCAAAGATCCTTTTTTGGAAGACCATTTGAGTAAATACTATAACCTAGTGTTGTAATAAGTTCATTCTCTTTAACTATATGTAGTTGGTCTGACTGTGGTAATTCTACTCTAGATGCTATTGCTGTAAGAGGCGCAAGTTTTGTTTTGGTTTTGTTAATTTTTGCATTGGAAGCCTGTTCGTAAGTTTCTAGAAGTTTAAAAGTATATTC